TTCCTCCAGAATAAACCACCACGCGTCTGTCATTTTGTCACCCTATGGTGGCCTGTGTGTTGCTGTGATGCGGAAGCTATGCTACTTGTATTTCAAATATCAGCAGGATCATTCATGGTGGAGAGGTTTCAGTGGAGCTTCCAGACTAAGACAGACTAGGAAGAAGGACTTGGCAATCTACTTCTAAAAAAACTGGCCAGTGGAAACCTTATGAATAACAGTCTAACACTGTCTGTTATATACTGCTGGATAAGCCCCTCTAAAGATGTAGATGGAATAAAATTTTCAGGACTTCCATTTGCTGATGTGGCATGACTCAGAAGGAGAAGAAACAGGTATAAACATCCATTAATAATTGGAACATGGAACGCATGAAGTATGAATCTAGGAATATTCAAAGTGATCAAAAGTGAAATGGAATGCACAGAGATTGATACCCTAGGCATTAGTGAGCTGGACTGGTATTGACCACTTTGAATCAGACCATCACACAGCCTTCTATACTACGAATGACAAAATTGGAAAGGAATGGCATTGCACACATCGTCAAACAGAACATTGCAAGAAGTACTACACTGTCAGTAATAAGATAATATCCATACAATTACAAGGAAGACCACTTAATACCACTATTATTCAAATTTATGCACCAACCACTAATGCCAAAAAATGAAAAAATTGAAGATTTCTACCATCTTCCACAGTCTGAAATTGATCAAACATGCAATCAAGATGTACTGATAATTACTGATGATTCAGATGTGAAAGATGGAAGCAAAGAAGAAGGAGCGGTTGTTGTTGTTATGTGCCGTTGAGTTGGCCCCAACTCATAGTGACCCCTCCTTGGGTTTCCGAGGCTGTATCACTATGGAAGTAGATTGCCCAACCTTCCTTCCAAGGTGTGGCTGGTGGGTTTGAACCGCCAGCCTTCTGGTTAGCAGTCAAGTGCCTTAGGCACTATGCTACCAGAGCGGTAGTCGGAAAATATGGCTTGGTGATCACATGATAGAATTTTGCAAGATCAGTGACTTATTTATTGTAAATATCTTTTTCAAGAACATAAATGAGGACATACATGTGGATCTTGCCAGATGGAATACACAGAAATCAAAGTGACCACATCTGTGGAAAGAGATGATGGAGAAGCTCAATATCATCAGTCAGAACTTACTGCAGAACAGACCATTAATTGCTCATATGCAAGTTCAAGCTGCAGCTGAAGACAATTAAAACAAGTACAAACACCAAAGTACAACCTTGAGTATATCCCACCTGAATTTAGAGACTATCTCAAGAACAGATTTGACACACTGAATACTATATGACTGAAGACCAGACATGTTTTGGGATGACATCAAGGGTATCATACATGAAAAAAGATAAATGGCATTAAAAAGACAGGAAGAAGACTAAAATAAAGCTGGTAAGGTTTGTAGGGACTCTTTTTAAATACATAGCCAATAGCAATTTATAGTTGGTAATTCTCAAACCTTAGGAGTATCTTTTAGGTTATTGCTAATATCTTTAAACATAGATTTTGAAGATATGTCCTTTCTAAATGCAAAATGTTTTTATTTGCCAAAGTTCATTTCCATTGTTGATATTATGAATTGGAACCAACTTGATGCCTTTGAATTATAGTGTGGATGTCAAAAGAGACTCTGCAACTTGGTACTGAATGTTGAGGAGCTAAAGTGAATGGAAAAAATGATGAAGTAAAAGAGCTAAAGACAAGATTTCAAAGGGCAGCTCAATAAGACAAAGAAGCATTATAATGAAATGTGCAAAGACCTGGACTTAGGAAACAAAAAG